TAGAAAAAGTAAAAAAAATAAATATTTATTTTCTTTATAAAAATTGTATTACTTTATATCTTCTTCAAAATAACAAACGAAGTTATAAACTCAAAGAAGAATTTTTAATAAGAATAAGTAAAAATAATTTTTTATTATTCGGTTAAGGTTTTTTATAATAATACTTCATTATTCATAGCATTAAAGTAAACATATTAGGAAATTTTGCGTTATTACTTTTGACAGACTAACCAGGGAAGAGGTGATTAACTTGCGTTAATATATAAAGGTACGAATGCAAATATTTAAACAATTAACATACACAACATTATTCTGCAAGTATTTAAGAGCAAGTTAGTGTCAAAAGTGGTAATTATTGTCAGTATGCCGCTTGCGGGCTGTCTCTTTGCCGTACTCATATTTATTTTTCAAGGGAAATGGGTGTATTCGCAGTATGCACAAGAATCTCACTGCCCAGGGACATACACCGCCCATGAAAAAATGTAAGTATCCATGCCTGCCTTACAAATTGCTGACACATTGTGAACGTAAAATCCCTAAGACCAGAATATTAATGATCTTAATTTAAAGTCAGAAGACCTAGTTAATGTCTTATTAATAATATACTTTTGACTATAATTAAGTATCTACTCAGTAGAACTTTTAGCATTATACTTGATGTTGTAACGTCCTTTACGATAATGCATACATATTTTAAAGGTATTTAAGAGGGTGCAACTTGGATACTTTTCCACCGAAGGGAGCAAGTTTAAACACTGCTGTAACGTCCATGTAAGATTTGACTTCCATTATATCTTTATTTTAAGTTAGTAAGAAAAAGCTATAGAGTAGACGTAAATATTCTCTAGATAACATTTTTTTTTAATTTAAGTGTTTTTTTAGCGGCAATGTATTTTTTTCTAATAATAACAAGGAATTGTAAGAATATATTTACTTAGAACTATACATTGTAAAGTTTCTATCATAATTATTCCTGACTTATATTATAAGAAATTTGGTAGATAACGCTCTTACCGTCATCACTAAAAAAATGTTTGCTCGCCTTTTCAGCTTGACTTTATTGTAAGGCCATAGTTATGATCCTGTCATTAAATATTTTATTATATAATAATATTCTGTTTACTCATGCTATTCGTATTAATCATATATTGTTCTCCGTACTTTATAAAATCAATAGGCTACTAGAAAAATTATATAACTTTTTGTAAAACTATTAATAGTCTTAATAATCGTTCAGTATTTTTTAAAACCTATAGCAATGATAATAAGATATTACATGTAGAAACTTAATGAATAACAAAATAAAATCAATTGAAGACGATTCGTTTTCTCATCTCGTTGCTTTGACTGAATTGTAAGATTCCTATTCTTTTTTAAAATGCTTGTAGGTTAATTCATAGGCCAATTGATAAATTTTTATAGGTACTACCTTACTAATCTATTCAACTACAGTCCTCTTCGTTAGCTAGAATTTAATTTTTCTGAGCTTTCATACTTGCTATACATATTGTTTTTTCACTAATATTAAAGGACCAAATGGATGGATTTTAAGCTTAATAACAACCATATTAATTTTTAAGTTTTCTTCTAATATTACTACTGACATAAACTATAAGGAATTTAGGTTCTAACAAACTTACCTCCATCAGCAAAGAATTGCTTTCTGGCCTTCGTAATTTGACTTCATTGTAAGGCCATAATTATGATCCTATCATTAAATATTTTGTTATATAATAATATTCTGTTCACTCATGCTACTCGAATCAATCTTAAAATGTTCGCTGCTTACTCGATAAATTATAGTTACTCCCTTGTAATATAATTAAGAACCTTAATCGTGTTCAGTATTTTTTATATCCTATTGCAATGTTAGTAACATATTACTTGTAGAAAATTATTGGATAACAAAATAAAATCAATTGAAGACGATTCGTTTTCTCATCTCATTGCCTTGACTGAATTGTAAGATTCTTATTCTTTATTAAAACGCTTGGGGTTATTCCATAAGGCAATTGATAATTTTAAGAGGCATTACCTTGCTAATCTATCCAACTACAGCTTTCTTCGTTAGCTAAAATTTAATTTTTTCTGAGTTCTCATATTTGCTATATATATTGTTTTTCCACTAATATTAAAGGACCAAATGGATGGATTTTAAGCTTAATTATTACCATACTTATTATTAATTTTTCTTCTAATATTACTACTGACATAAACTATAAGGGATTTAAGTTATAATCAAATTACCTCCATCAGCAAAGGAATGTTTTCTGGCCTTCGTAATTTGACTTTATTGTAAGGCCATAATTATGATCCTGTCATTAAATATTTTATTAGATAATAATATTCTGTTCACTTATGTTATACAAATAAATCATAAAGTGTTCGCCGCTTACTAAAATTATATAGTTACTTCCTTATAATATTATGAAGGGTCTTAATAATTGTGTTCAGTATTTTTAAATTCTATACTTATTTTTAACATATTGTAGATCTTTATGGAATAGTCAAATAAAATCAATTGAAGACGATTCGTTTTCTCATCTCGTTGCCTTGACTGAACTGTAAGATTTTATTCTTTATTAAAAAGCTTGTGGGTCATTCCATAAGCTAATTGATAAATTTTTTTTATTTTACCTTGCTAATCTATCCCAACTACAGCCCTCTTCGTTAACTAGAATTTAATTTTTTCTGTGTTCTCATGTTTGCTATACATATTGTTTTTTCACTAATATTAAAGGACCAAATGGATAGATTTAAAGCTTAATTTTTAGCATACTTATTAATTATTCTTCTAATATTTCTACTGACATAAACTATAAGAAATTTAGGTTATAACCAAATTACCTCCATCAGCAAAGAATTGCTTTCTGGCCTTCGTAATTTGACTTCATTGTAAGGCCATAATTATGATCCTATCATTAAATATTTTGTTATATAATAATATTCTGTTCACTCATGCTACTCGAATCAATCTTAAAATGTTCGCTGCTTACTCGATAAATTATATAGTTACTCCCTTGTAATATAATTAAGAACCTTAATCGTGTTCAGTATTTTTTATATCCTATTGCAATGTTAGTAACATATTACTTGTAGAAAATTATTGGATAACAAAATAAAATCAATTGAAGACGATTCGTTTTCTCATCTCGTTGCCTTGACTGAATTGTAAGATTTTAATCTTTATTAAAACGCTTGTGGCTTACTCCATAAGCCAACTGATAAATTTTTAGAAGTACCTTGCTAATCTATTCCAACTACAGCCCACTTCGTTAGCTAGAATTAAATTTTTTCTGTGTTCTCATGTTTGCTATATATATTGTTTTTCACTAATATTAAAAGACCAAACGGATGGATTTTAAGCTTAATTATTACCATACTTATTATTAATTTTTCTTCTAATATTACTACTGACATAAACTATAAGGTATTTACGTTATAACGAACTTGCCTTCATCAGCAAAGGAATGTTTTCTGGCCTTCGTAATTTGACTTTATTGTAAGGCCATAATTATGATCCTACTATTAACTATTTTATTTTATAATATTATTCTGTTCACTTATGTTATACAAATAAATCATAAAGTGTTCGCCGCTTACTAAAATTATACAGTTACTTCCTTATAATATTATTAAGGGCCTTATTAATCGTGTTCAGTATTTTTAAATTCTATAACTATTTTATTAACATATTGTAGATCTTTATGGAATAACAAAATAAAATCAATTGAGGACGATTCGTTTTCTCATCTCATTGCCTTGACGATATTGTAGGTTTAATTTTAATTTAAACGCTTGTAGATTATCCCACGGTGAACTTTATTTGTTTTATTTTTCTGTTTTGATAACAATAAACTAATCAATAAATTAAAGCAGCATTACCTTGTTAACCTATTTCAACTACAGCCCTCTACGTTAGCTAGAATTTAAATTTTCTGTGTTCTCATATTTGCTATATATTGTTTTTTCACCAATTTTTAAGGGCAAACTGAATGGATTTTAAGTTTAATTATTACCGTACTTATTAATTTTACTTCTAATATGACTACTGACGTAAACTATAAGGAATTTAGGTTATAACCAACTTAACTTCATCAGCAAAGGAATGTTTTCTGGCCTTCGTAATTTGACTTTATTGTAAGGCTATAATTATGATCCTATCATTAACTATTTTATTATATAATAATATTATGTTCATTCATGCTACTCGAATCAATCATAAAATGTTCACTACTTACTCGACAAACTGTATAGTTACTTCCTTGTAATACTATTAAGAGCCTTAATAATCGTGTTCAGTATTTTTGAATCCTATAACTATGTTATAAGATATTACTTGTAGAACTTTATGGAATAGTCAAATAAAATCAATTGAAGACGATTCGTTCTCTCATCTCGTTGCCTTGACGGATCTGTACGTTTGTTATTTTTATTTAAAATGTTGTGGATTATCTCACGATGAACTTTCTTCCATGAGCTAATTGATAAATTCAAGCAGCATTATTTTGCTAATCTTTTTCAACTACAACTCTCTCCGTTAGCTATAATTTAGCTTTTTAGATAAATTATATAGTTACTTCCTTTTAATATTATTAAGAGTCTTAATATTCGTGTTCAGTATTTTTTAAATTCTATAACTATTATTAACATATTACTTGTAGAGCTTTAATAGATAACAAATTAAAGTCAATTAAAGACGATTTGTTTTCTCACCTCACTGCCTTGAAGACATTGTAAGATTCTTATTTTTTATTAAAAAGCTTGCGGGTCATTCCATAAGCTAATTGATAAATTTTTTTTATTTTACCTTGCTAATCTATTGCAACTACAGTCTTCTTCCTTGGCTAGAATTTAATTTTTTCTGAGTTTTCATATTTGCTATATATATTGTTTTTCACTAATATTAAAGGACCAAATGGATGGATTTTAAGCTTAATTATTACCATACTTATTATAAATTTTGCTTCTAATGTTACTACTGACGTAAATTTTAAGGAATTTAGGTTCTAACCAACTTACCTTCATCAGCAAAGAATTGTTTTCTGGCCTCCGTAATTTGACTTTATTGTAAGGCCATAATTATGATCCTATCATAAAATATTTCATTATATAATATTCTGTTCACTTACGTTATTCAAATAAATCATAAATTATTCGCCGCTTACTAAAATTATACAGTTACTTCCTTTTAGTATTATTAAGAGTCTTAATAATCGTGTTCAGTATTTTTTAAATTCTATAACTATGTTATTAACATATTGTAGATCTTTATGGAATAACAAAATAAAATCAGTTGAAGACGATTCGTTTTCCCATCTCATTGCCTTGACGGAACTGTAAGTTTTTTATTCTATTCGTTACTTTTCTTGGGGACGGTTTATAAGGCACCTTAATTTGGAGGCGACTATATAAGATAGGAATAAACCAATCGTAGGAGCTACGTTGCACTAAGTTTGCTACCCATTTTCACTTCAATCTTTGACTATTTTATGCATTACATTGTTTTTCTTTAGTACTACCACTGGAACTCCCTATTTGAACTTTTTTTACATTAATTTTAAATAAGGTGTAGTAATATACCTTACATTTTATCTTAACTTTGAACTTCTCATCTTTTTATATACTTTTAGAGATCTTGTTACTGTACGTTTTATCATATTATATAGCTTCTTTCTTGCATATACTTATCATGTTTTGTTGCTTTTGAAGGCATCTTTTCATATCTTGTTATACTTTTTCCAATCGTTTTCTAAACGTTTAGATTTATTGTTTTTCCAAAAACTTTCTGTTTGTAACATCTAAATAAACCGCGTAAGCCGAGGCTTCGCACAGTTTATCAGTCTAGTCAGGTTATTAAAGACCAATATAATTGCATTTTAGAAATAATTTTAGTAAAACTGCTTATATAATAAGACCTATCGGGGCGACGGTGTTGTTCCAGGTGTTCCTCCTGTTAAGTATTTATTAATATTTATCTTTTACATAACCATTAGGGATCTTACAGAAAATCCTTTAACTGAGATTGGGGCTAAAGCTTTTGTGGCTTCCTGGTACCCTCATGGCATGTAATTTTCTATTCCTTAGTATTGCAGTCTTACAAATTTTTTTTAATTACCTTTTAAAATTTACTAGTAAGTTAATACTTGACCAAAATTTTCTTTGCTGCTCGCGGGTGCTCTACAATGAATTAAGCTATGTTAATGGAAACTGCACTTTTAAAGGGAACCTAGAAATCTTTCATGCTTTTAATAAAGCTAAGTGCCATACATCAAGTTAGCCAGGATCTACTCACACCACGAGCAATAATACTGAAATCATTTCCTGATCTCCCTATAGTGGGGTAGGGATAGTAAATAAACTCATTTAGACGTATTACGCTCTCTTTTACATGATGGTGCCGGTATTTTCTGTATAAACCATAAAAGGCGATGTAATAATAATTTTTAATATAGTTGATTTTTTAATATTTTTCTGTACCTTACTTACTCCGAAACTCTTAGAATAAGTCTACTATATGTTTTTACTTTATCATCTATTTAGTACAACGGTGTTTTTAGTAGAGCATTGCATTGCATTAAACGTTTCAATATATCGGGATAAAGGGTTAGGTTTAATAAAAAATAATATATGGATATATGAACTTTTGACTATAATATTGCCAAAGAGCACGTAATAGCAACCCCTCTCGAGTGAGCACTCTTCAACAATGCTACCCCTTGTTATACTCGAGAAGAGAGTCAGAAGCAGTGTAAATTGGGGACAAATATTAAATAATTTTGATTTACGTGCAACGATTGCAAGTATTAAAAAAGTTTTTTAAAACAAATAGGAATTGTGCCTTCTGTTGCAGATATTCAAATACTGTACTTTCCGAATCTTGCTTTTCTTATTCAAGTCATTCAGTAGAACGAAAATAACAAAGCTAAAAGAAAAGTTTTTTTTTGTATTATGATAAAAAAAATTACTAGAGCTCGCGCTATCAAAACTTTTAAAAAGAAAAGATAGAATAAAGTAGGTTAAATAATTGCTACTTCACAGAAAACCAAATTTATTAGTACACTTGAATTTCTTATTAAGTTAACTTATCGGTAGCGTGTAAACTAAAAAAAAGTAATTAACTTTAACGAATATATAAAAAATTGTCTATTATATTAAGAAAACACAAAAGGGAACAAGCTGGAAGCGGTTAAATTAATAAATAAAAAAATTTCTATACCCAAAACCAGCACATCAGCTCATAAAACGGTTTGTAATAAATTAATTTACCCATAACTAGCATAAGTAAGAAAAAAAATTTATTGGAATTTAAAAGAATTAACTGAAACATAAAAATTAATAACTCTCTTTGCTAAATTAATATATTTAAAAAACTTGAGCTATCAAAACTTTTTGGTAGAAAACAAGCTATAACACTGTTAACGAAGATTATGTTACTAATTTTTACAAACCAGCTTATTAGCATACAAAACAAATCATTTAGTAAATAAACTATTATCAAGAGGAGAGGAAAAAACAACCTCAAAAGTTTTAAGAAATAAACTTATCGTTTGTTCATTGTTATTTAAATTAGATAATGTGAGTGAAAATCAAGTATATTAACTATTACTATTTATTAAATTAACTTACTAGCAAACATTACAAATTTATAATAAGCTATGTAGTAGTAAGCTATTATTAAGCCGTTTGAAATGAAACGCCTTAAAAGTTTTTAAAGAAACTTTTTGTTTCCCATTGTAATTTAGAATAATGTAAGGGACAATTAAGTATATAAGCAAACTATTACTTTACAAATCTAACTCTAAGCACATGATTTTATAGAGTTATGTATAGGCAGTGAGGAAAAACGCACCAAAAGTTTAAAAAAAAAACTTCCTTGTTGTTCAATGCTATTAAACTATACAAAAGTAAGTGACAATTATAAAAGTTTGACAAATTACTACGTTACAAAATTCATTTATTAGCACACAATGATTTATACTAATAATTTGGTCTAATAAAATAAATAGTGCAAAAGTATGAAGTTCCTTTCACGTTTTCATTAATTATTATAACTATTTATATATTTTTATAAAACTGAGACTAAGAGGCTTTATTGGAAGTATTCTAATTAATGTTACACTGTTATATTAATAAATATAGTGTAAAAAATTTAACTCAAACTTGAGTTTGTATTTACCTTTTACTTTACAAATCTTATCTCTATTTTTATTATATAAATAATACTAAAAAACTGTTTTTTTTCAAGTATTTTCCTTAGTAATTATTATAATATTATATATTTAAGTAGTATAAAAGAAAATAATGAGATTTTTGTACAAATTTACTCTTTTATAAATTCTTTATGAGAATTTATTTTATATGAATTTAAATTTAAATATTAAAAAAGGCCTTTTTTTTTAAAGTAATTTTTTTAATAGCTATACATTACTAAATATTTAAAAAAGAAATAACTAAAATTCATAAGTTTACGTTTACCGATCTATATAATTAATAAATTTTAATTATATAAAAATACCAAAAATCTTTTTTTTTGGTTTTTTATTGAAAAATCATATTTCAATATAATATTGATAAATAGTCCACAAGAAAAAAACTAGATTCACCTTGTGTACTTTTTGATTTGTTATATAAAATGTTATTGAATATTAAACTTATAAAATTTTGTTAATTAATAAATTATGTTATATAAGAACTAAACTAAATTCATCTCATTTTTTGCTACTCGTTATTTTTACTCATTCTAATTATTTACTATATAAATTATTACTATAAAATAATGCTAATTTATTAAATATATTTTAATCAATAGTAGTTATATTATTAATAAATAGTATGAAAGAAGAATGTAAGATGCAAATTTTCTATTTAATTTTTAAGCTTAATATACTTCATTAAATTTTTTTACAAAATTATACTAAAAGTTTTTTTATTTAAAACTTTTTATTAATCGCTATTAAAAGAGTGTATTATAAAAAAAATTAAAGTTTCGCCAAATCAAATTATTATTATATGCACTTTTCTTCTAAATAATATATATTTCTAATTATAAAACTTTTATATTGAGAAAAAATATTGTTTATATAAATAATAGTAAAGCATTTGTAATTTTTATTTAGATTTTTGGTGGAATAAAATATTGTTGTATAATTTACAACGATGCTACCGTCTTGAATATTCTTTCTATGGTTTGCGAAATTTAGCACCTTTTTACCAATCCATAACAAATCCTTATAGAAATCTTGATTATAACGATGCGTAGCGTAAATGTGTTTTATTAAACCCAATGCGTTTCATGTTTACAAAAGAGTTTAACAGAATAAAAGTAACCTCATAGAATTCAGGTAAAAAATAGTCAAAACAATTTCACAGTTTACCTTTTATAAGTTAACTCATTTGCTGTATAGTGAAGTTAAAATTTGTTAAATTAGCGGTAAATTTTATATTAGTACTGTTTGCCTTTAAAAATATTGTTATTCTCCTGAATAGCTAGGCATTCTTTTGTACTTGTGTTGTATGGCTTTTATTACGATGAACCCAAACTTATGTTTTTTTGGAACAGATCCAACGAAAAGACTATTACTTTTCTCCAAATATGATGCATTGGGACCCTGGTCAAATTAGTTGTTTTCTGTATAGAATTTACCCTGAGTTAAACTTCTCACCTTCAGGGTGCCTTTAAGTTTTAAATCTATTTATATAAATAATAAAACTTACAACAGTAAACAAACTTCATTTGTATAGGTTATAATAAATAATGCAATCCTTACTGAAGGTGTATAGTTGTTTATAAAAATTTTATAAATTAGTAGAAGGCTAAAATTTTACTATTTATCTCTATTCTATAGCAAAAGTGCCTGGTTAAAACGCCAAAGGATTTTTTTTCTAAGTTCAAAACAAGAAATTCACTTTTCAAAAATAAAATAGCAGTGTGGAAAGTGATAATTACCAGCATTGTTTTTAACTTGCATATAGGAAAAAATATATAATTACTTAAGCCTTTTTTCTTTGAGATTATATTTAAGAAAATTTTTTTAAATTTTTAGTATAGAAAAAACTAATGTTAAAACGCTTTTACAACGTAATATTTCCAATTTAAATAAGGCACAAAAGGAGCGCTAATTCATGACTTATAAGAGTAATGCGAGAGGGACTGAGCTTGTTATTTTTGTATAACAGAAGGAGCCGGAACCTTCCTTTTACCTGTTCTGCTTTTTTCTTTACTTTCTGGGAAGGCAAAGGCTCTCAGATATTCTCCTCATATAAAAGTGCTTAGCAGTTTGTACGTATTTATTTTTGTGCGCCGTGCATTAAGTATAGAATTATAGAATTATCTTAAATAGTTGAGCATGAAGTTAAACTTTTGCAAGGCTTTAGGCGACCAATTAGTATCATTAATGTTGCAGATGTTTGCTAGGTAAATATTTATTTAAGACTCAGGCTATTAATTTAGCTAATATGATTAAGAAATAATATTTCTGTTAAGACCAAAACGTTTCTAACTAGGATATAAATGCTTCTAAACTTAATTATTATTAATAATATAATTAATTACACATTTATAATAATAGGAATGTATTGAATTGAAATCTAAGCTGTTTGACTGTGAACTAGTAGGCAGCCCTACTAATCTAAAAAAATGTAAGAGTTACTCTCTATTACCAACATTAAGAACTAATGCGTTAGTTTAAAATAAAGCGATCACTCAACAAATTGGATAGAATTATGCTTTCTACATTGGAGGGGCTTCATCTCTTGATTCTATGTAGGTTTATAATAAACATCTATTTGGTTTTAAAATATTTTTTACTATTCAAGGTTGTTATGGTAATAACTGTTTTTATGCAATATTTTATCTAAATTCAGGAAGATAAACATTTAATTTATTGAGGTCTGTGAAAGACATAACAATCAAGTTTCTTTTCTATAACAATTTACATCGACCTATTATTTAAGACATAATTTCTTATTGGCTTCCCTACAGTTTTTTTCTTAAACTTAATATAAATGATACTGAAAATGACGTAAATTATTAAATATTATTTAAACTGAGTAATATACTCTAAATAAGCTA